ACAATTGAATGAAATGTTGACAAGTGTTTAAAATGTAAAGTTGGATTTAACATGTAGAAACATGTCACGATGACTCTTCGCCGAGAAGTTGAACTTCGTAACCGGAAATATAAAGTAATGTTATTTAAAGCAAAGTGAAGAAGAACCAAATAAATCCCGGATAACTGTTGATAATATCCTCTCGAGCTCAACGATACCGTAATTACCACCAACGTTTCGCTTTTTTCTACGGGAAAAACAGTTAGCATGAAATATGTAATAAATTAAGCTACGTACAAAAAAAAGCTACCGTGTTATTAAAAGTAACAAGTCCCTTCCTAAACGAAATAATATCCCACCTACGATATTTAATATTCAGGCGTTGAACAAAACACCTCAGTGCTAAATTCTTAGGAATACATTATTAAATAAATTGTTTGGTTTATTGTTTTGAGCCTTAGAGTTCCTTAATTCCTTTTAAACGAAGTTTAAAATGTTGATGTTGAGCTACCTGAGTAGAGTACAAAAGCATACAACTTCAATACAAGGAGACTAATTCCAAATAATCTACTTTTTTTTCCAAAAAAAATCACTAGAAAATCAATTGAAAACGCTTCAAATGCAAAAACACAACATACAACAATTGTAAATGGACGAGCAACCTACACCGCTTTAAGACTTCACTGATGAACTTATGAAATCTGAAGTGAGGTACTATAAATGCCTGGACATTTCGGGAACCACTTGAATGTTAACAATCAACCTTAACAGCCCCTTTCAGAACACTTGACGTTGTCTCCATAACCGACTCGAGATAATTTCTGCCTCCTGACCCTGAGAGCAACTTGGTCGCAGCCAAAGTGTTTAATCATATTTTCTACTGACTTATGTAAATTAGAATTAATTAAAATTTTTTATTTATTCTTCGATTCAAAGGCGTTTCTACTTTGTCGCTTTTTTCAGACGAAATTTGCCAACAATTTCTCTTCCTCGTCCTCAAAGAACTGTCATGCAACAATCAAACAAATTCTTCTGTGGATTTTTGGAAAGTTAAATATCGTCCTACTTAAGTGCTAGTATCTGTCCATGCCTCTTGATCAACATAACAAATAATACCACCATCTGGACGCTGTGCAGTAGCAGGCAATTGACTGACAACTTCTTTTTTAAAAAATATCGATTTCTTTGATCACCTCAAATTCACTCAACCAACCTAACCCCTACTCAACATACAAAATCTAGTCTAACCTGTCTGAAAGAATTTTATTGGTGACCAGTATCATGTTCATTCCGTGTTTTTAAAGCGACCGCACTTTCTACCATTCCTACTAATTACACTTAGCTAAGCAGTTCTAGATATGTTAGTGGCACTTTTCCTTTTTGACTTCCCCTCTCGCCAATCATCCAATCGGGGTCCAATCCAGGTGCGCTGTAAACCGTGATCACCTGGGAACGAGAGACATTAAACACTTGGTCAGCCTCACTACAGTAACTGGATCTTCCTCAACACACCTCATGGTCAAGGACAGGATATCAAACGAACAAAATGGGTCTTGTAGGTTTAACTACATTTTATCTTTGTGCTAATCTACTATTCCTATGGCTACTAACGTCCTGCAACTGTTATGCAGAACCAGTACATGAAAAAAACCCTCTCATGTCCTAATTCATCAAAAGGAAAAAAATATAAAGAGACTGAACCAAAATCTTAGGGGCAAACGTTGCTGGTAAGTTTTCGTATAGGTCAATTTTCCCATTGCTCTTTTTAACATTTAGTGAGGTGAAGTAGGAAGTAAGTAACTTAAAAACACCTCTTTCCTTCCTTGATTTAAATACAGACATAAAGAGACAAGTGGGATGGACTAATGCCTGCCACGTGTTACTGTTGGAGGACTGGAAGGCAACCGAAATTCCATTGGCAGAACAAATGAATTCAAATAAAAGAGGGTCACATGTAGAAAGAAGAGTAGAAAAGAAAACTATTTGAATACACTGATGTGGTTCCTAAGCTGAAAGAGACATAGCTTTTAATCCTCTTTCACTCTCCTCAACTGAATGGATCTGAATAAGTGACAGATTAAAAAACGAGTGTGGTAATTATTTACTACTCTTTCCTGAGATCTAAAAGCTGTGAAAAGCGTATGGCAAGTACAGAAGTTGAAATAAGGAAAAATGAATGACAGATTCTGAATAGAAAGATCAGTAACAACAGTAAATCTGCCCCACCAAGAGTCTTTGGTACCAGAACAATAGCATCAGTAGTGTTTATTCTTTTACAACCAGGAATGTCCAAAAGGAATCTCTTTGCAGTATTTCATACAGTTTCAGAGAAAAAGTTATGAAAAAGACATGTGTAGCTTTGCAATAAATGATCATTTAGAAATTGGGAGTGAAAGTGTAATGCTAAAGCCATATCACTGACCTCATCAGCAAGCAAGGAGAGCTCATTCTTGTCTGCTGCATCATAATCATACAATACTTTGGCCTTTTGGGTCAGGGATGGCCGAGGAACAGTGTTCAGGTCCAACCCACCAGAGGTGTCAGAAAAGGAAGGTGCAGAGGGAGGAACAAAAGATAAAGCTGCATCACCTGGAGGACTGAAAGAAATTTTCATATCAGGCTTTGTTTTCTTGCGAGATATATTAACTCTTTGTATCACCCTTTGCTTTTTCTGTTTCTTCATTTCTTTTTCTTTTCCACAGGGGGTAAAAGATTCTTCACTAATTTTCTATCAATTCTCTACTTTCATTCAATGACAATAACTTTAAATCAGAATTTGCTTGATTTTCAACAGAACGGCAAGGTTGGATAACATTTTCAAAAAAAATTTTTTGAAACATAGCAATTGCAGAAAAGCTTGCAAAGAAAGAGAACAAACAGTGTTGGTAATTAAGTGCTCACCAAACATCATGACAAATGACCAAACAAGACACAAGAACCTTTGGAATAACCTCAGCACCAAATAAAGAGATGTGCTGGACTATTTTTCTATCCACTGAAAGATTCACTGCCAAGCATTTTGAAACTCTTCACCTCTAAGCCTGTTATGATGCAAACTATTTTCAGTTGAAATAGTCACACAAGTGTCCAGACCTTGTGAAAAGACTTTGTTTTAATGGCTTACCTCCACAAAAGCATTTTAATTCTAAAACATATTGTACCTTGCCAGTTGCTTCTGCAGCTCTGTCATGTATGCATGGCACTGTGCATAATACTGTGCCTGGGCCTCAACAAAATTCATCAGTGCCCTGTGATGGTTGGCCTAAAATATATCCAGAATTTCACATAAAAAATCTGCTACTATCTGTTATTTTGAGTGGCAGTTTCCAGTAAATGTTTTAAGGAAACCTCAGCTCTGTTCTTTTTCTACTCTGCCAATTATAATTTTGTGGTAATTCCATTGTAAAACTGCAAATAATAAAGCACAGAGGGAGTCCATCATCTAAAATTCTCAAAGTTTCTCATGTGATTCCTTCCTATATTTAACAGTTCACTAAGTTATTGAATCCATAGTGAATGAAAAATCTTGAAACTTGAATTCTGTTATACTGCTAGGTAGAAAAGAATTATGAGACAACTAGACAGATGCAACAAAGTTAGGTAAAGTATGAGTTCAACTAACCCCCTCCCTTGTACTTAACTGAGAATAATGGGGGGAAGTTTGCTATTTGGCAAAGTCATGGGTAGATACAAAACACAAATGCACCATTCAACAAAATTAATGAATCTAGCACAGTAATAAAGGTAATACTTACATGAGCTGTGCTGATTCCATCCAGCAGTAACTTTGTCACTTCATACTGTCTGTCAAACTCTCCTTGACATACTCTTAAATCTGCCTCTGCCTACAAAAAGGACTACTACATCAGTGAGGTTCT